AGAAACTAAATTACCAAAGTGAAATTTTTACCTAAACGAAATCCTAATTTGGAAAGAAAATCTTAGCTTGATGATTGGAATTAACTCAATACTCAAAATGATGTTTTAACGAATTAAAATGCAAATCAAATGTTTAGAATGCAAAGTAGTTTTATTCAATGAAAATTAAACGCACTAGGATCACGAATTCTCATTCAATAATCACTATAAACCCTAATTTCACAAAATGACAACACGATTGAATTGTTAATGAATCAATGCTCCTAAATCTATCCAACACTCTTTCTCAAGACAATTGAACCTATTCTTATACACCACCGACCCATATCTCTATGACAAATGTATATATAAGAATGCATGTGGTTTTATGAACATTTAACGATTCATGAAAGCATAGGAGTATATCTCTATCCCCTATCGAACTCTACGATGATTTATATCTTATCGAATTTATTTCTATTCTCTCGAACAGATGAAATAAACTACCAAACATTACATAATTACGTACACTTAATTATAGAAGAAAATTAATGTATATAATCATTCAAACATTCAAGTACGTGTTTAATGTCAAAATTGCAAACTAGAAATTTAAAGATCATATCACATGGTACATCGATCTCTTAATACATGAAAATCTAGTTAGACATGATAGGAAAAGAAAAACAACAGAAAAAAAATAAGGAAAGAACATTACCCAATCACCCTTTGATTTGAAATCTTGAATCTTGGAATGAATTCTCTCGTTCTTGCCTCTTTTTTTTCTCTTCAAATCCTCCCAAAATAATATATAATGCGTGGTCTATGTTTTTGGACGTCCCTAGGGCTTTAAAAAAACTTCCCAAGATTTGTTTCCATAAGAATCTCAATCAAAAAAGGAAACCAGATTTTCTCGTCGCGATTGAACTGGGCTGTCACCCAGACAAAACCCAAGCACTCACCCAGGCCAACTTTTTCTTTTCAGTAAGTATTTTTTTGCTTTGGGCAGTCGCCCACACAAAGTAATTGGACTGTCGCTCAGTTATAAAAAAACTCTCGAATGTTGCATTTAAGCCCCCGAAGTTGATTTTTTATTCTTTCAAACCCTTTCTCTTGCATTTTCAACACTTTGATTTTTAATTGCATCCAATTGAACCCACAACATCGTTAATCCTCATTTTATGGTCTGAATCAATTATTGAAATGTCACAACTTAGTCCTCATACTTTGGATTTTCTTTATTTTTGGTTCTTTTTCTTTTTTTCTCTCTTGAATTCCACCACATTCATCAATTTAGTCCTACAAAACATAATTACATAGGATTACGCCATGATTCAAACTCTTTGATCATAATTAAGTCATATTTGTGAACTAAATAAGTGTGTAAAAACACACTTATCAAACACTTGGGAGATGACATTTCAAGATGAGGCTACGTGTGTCTTCGTCCAACGATTATAATTCCTCCTCTTTTACTATAAAAGCCCATACTTAGTACCATTTGAATGCAATGCAATTCTACACACTCAAATTAATGTTCTTAATCTTGTTTATATTATCTTGTAAACTCTCGACGTCAGAATACTAAGGTGGCTCATGTCTTTCGATCATCCCACACTCAAATATACTCGTGCCGTTGACTTTCTGGATCGTCGAGCGCACACGACCATCTCTGCCACATTCAAAGATGGTTACAAGTTTCAACAATTTTGTCCCAGTATGTAGGAGCTTATCTACGTAGACTTAAATCAAGTCTAGATCTCTTAACCACATTTCCTTGCAATAATCGAGGTCAACAAAATTATTCTAATGGAGGAATATATTTTTGAAAATGAGTCTGAGAAAAAAAATTTTAAATAAGTTGTGTTAAACAAATGCTTATTTCTCTTTCTACAACAAAAATCACAAAACACGCATAAACTATAAGGCTGAATAATTAGGTATCAATGGAATAAATTAAAGTTAAAGAAATAGTATAAATATCATGACGATGAACTTAATCTACAAATAAGAAAAATAGTCAAATATCAAAGGTAACAAGTGTAATATATATCGTGGCGGATCCAGGATCTCAAGTAAACACATGAGGCCGTTGATAGTTAACTGTTAACGGCCGCAATAAAAATCAAATATATCTATTATTTTGCTAAAACTGAACATATATGTTTTCTGTTACATTTGATGTTAACATCCACCAAATGTCATAGTGGTTAAAGTTTCCATATTTTTCAAGATGATTACTGATAAGTGCAATGTTCGCACTTATTTAGACCATATTATTAAACTTTCTGTCGTGAAATTATTGAATTTTATTTAAGTTTAGTTAATTTTTGTTTGTTTCAGTGTTTGACCCGTTTAGGAGCAATTGGAAAAGGATGAAGATCGAATTAGCTATTGGATGGAAAATGTGTGAATCAAATTCTACACTTTGAAAAATTAAGGATTTGAATTGAACTAAATAAAGACATTGGTTGAATAGTTAATTGGGTTCAAGGATTAAATTGTATGATTTTAAAATAATTGAGGATTTGGAGGAAAATGAATTATATTGGGCCTCGGGCTAGAAATTGAAGAACAATTGGATGTCACTGGAAATTGGAGAAAAACAACAAAAAAGGGTTGTCCAAGGTGGGTGTGTGTGTGTGTGTGTGTGTGGCTTGAGCCACATTATTTTGGTAATAATGCATTCTTGAATAGTGTATTGATGAGAAATGTGTGGTTAAAAAATAAGGAAAAATTTTTGATTTGCATGTAATATTATTTTATTGAAGAATGTGTGGTTGAAATGATATCAAATCACTGTTTAAAAATGCATTTTTTTGAAATAATGTGGCTCAAACAGACTCACACACACACACACACACACGATAATTGGAGCTGCCGGAAGGGAGGACGGCTAAAAATCTTGGGAAAATTATAGAAATAAAAACGGCTACCATTATATAGATTTCACACGCCAACTGGAGGAGAATTGGGGATAAAACCATATAAAAAGACACGCACACGCACGGAAGAGAAGAGAAGTTGTCAACCGAAATTCACAAAAAAAAAAAAAGACTGCTTGGGAGAAAATATATACACAAATAATTGAGTAGCAGTTTGGAGGGGAATTACACACGAACTGAGAATATTAAAAAAAAGGTGGCTGCAATTTTTATACATACATTGGCTGCTGAATTTGGAGTTTCTTAGAAGAAAATTGGGTGGCTGCTTGTGGAATTAATTATAGAGACTCATAAACAAAAGGTGGTGGTGAAATCAATAGAAATTGAGGGAGAAGAGGGCACTTTGGAAGCTTGGAATTGATAAATACACGTGCTAAGGCCAAGAATAGTTTTGGAATTTAATCACTTCCTATCGATTTTCGGTGATTTCTTTCCACTTTTATGTGTTTAATCCCAACGTTATGCTAGGCTTGGTCTTCTCATGTATTGGATGAATGACAAAATTGTTTAATTCTTAGTTTTAATTCGAGACATGTGTTTTTATCTTAATTCTTGTGTTGTGATTTAGGTAATATGCATATTTATATTGTTTTAATGTTTGAGTACAACTACGATAATACGTTGCTTATTCACTGTGTTGGAAAACTCATGATAAGTAGAATACTATTATTGAAACACACGGACAATAAATGTTAGGAATAATATTTGCGGCGTATGCAATCATATGTGATAATCCTAAATGTAAATGCATGTTTGCCATATGAATTCTGATTAGGAATATGATCGTCTTGTGGTAACCATAGGTTTATTATATTTTGGAAAAGAATAATAAATAATAGTGAAATTATCGATCGTAATAATTGCATGAATTGAAATAATTATCACTGGTTGAGAATTATAACTAAGAATTGATCAGTGGTATCAGAAATCCAATACGTTCGCACATTTGATTTTTAAACCAACTTTCATTGTTTTCAGAAGTTTTAGTTATAAAAAATATTAGCTATTCATTCGATCGTCTTTTAGTTACAAATACGAATTTAAATATATCAAATATATTAAAATTGATCATTATTCCTTGTGGGACGATAACTCTCTCATCACGATTATTACTTGTACAACAAATCCGTAAGCTTGCGGGATTTTGACGAACAAGTTTTTGATGCCGTTGTCGGGGAATAATGGTGTTAATTTTAGTTATTAGATATTTTATATTCTTTTTTATTTTATTTTATTATTTTTTTAATATGTTGTTTTTAGGCTAATATTACACTTCTTAATTCTCTTGTGTCTTGACACTTTTCAAGCGAACTTGGTCTATGCAAACTCTTGATGAGCCAAATCTTGTTCCGATAGACCACGAAATCAAAGGACATAGAAATTGCAGAAGAGTTCAACATCAAGCAAGGAGAATGGTTGATAACCAAAATCAACCATAGAATCAGGTTCAGTTTCATGAGCCAATACCACAGTCAAATCAACCGAGAGCTATCCAGAACGAAGCTCATGTCTTAGTTAGAGATTACGCCAATCCAATTTTTGCACCAGTGCAACCTGCTGTGGTATATCCTCCATTCGGACAAACTAATTTTTACCTCAAACTAGATGTCATCAATTTGTTTCAAAATCATCAAGACATCAGGTTCTTTGGAAAAGCCACGAAAAATCCTCATGAGCATATTTCTACTTTTCTCATGTTGTGTGAAGTGATCAGTCACAAAGGGATATCAGCAGATGCATTTTGAATGCAGTTATTTCCTTATACCTTGAAGGACGCTGCTAGAGAATGGTTTCTTTGTTTACCACTAGGGAGCATTCAATCATGGAAAGATATGGTTCAAAAATTCACAATGAAATTCTTTCCACCTTCTCAAGTTCACCAAATCAGAAATAACATCCACGCCTTCAAACAGAAAGATTTAGAGAGCTATCCTGAGGCATAGGAGAGGTTCAACAATTTTTTTCAGAAAATGCCTCAGCTTTGACATTCCCAAGCAGGCTCAACAGTATCTTTTCTACTACGGTCTAAAAAAAGAGTTCAAAAATATGATAGATGCTTCAACTTGAGGATCAGTGATGAAACTTGATGTGGATGAGGCATATGACTTGCATGAAAAAATAGCTGAAAACCAATCGATGTGGCCAACCAATAGAGAAGCTCTAAGGAAAACTTCAGGGTTACACAACGTTGATGTAGTGACAGCATTGGCCGTGCAAATGGAAGTTCTTACAATGAAAATGGACAATCTATCTAAGGCAGTCAACATAGTATACCAACTGCCACCTGTTTGCAAAGACTGTGGAGTGGATCATGTTAGTACACGCTGCCCTTTGGCGTCCACGTATGTTATTTAGTCTGAAGAAGTAAGCTACGCGCAGAAATTTTAGAGATAGCAAAAATATTCCCTTCTCCAACACATAAAATCCGGGTTGGAGGAACCATCCAAATTTTTCATGGTCCAATAATCAGGGACAAGAATAGGAAAGAAGCAATCAGAATAAACCACCAGGGTTCCAACAGCAAGGAAAAAAGCATCATTGGAAGATTTGCTAGCTCAATACATTACTAAAATTGAGACCAACTTTCAGAACCAAGAAGCCTCAATTAAGAATTTGGAGCAACATGTTGGACAAATTGCAGCCGCGCTATCAGGTAGAGCTCAAGGGACATTACCCAGTAATACTGAGACAAATCCTAAGGAGCAAGTCAAAGCAATCACTACACGTAATGGCATCTAGTTACTAGAAATACATGTAAAGCGGCCAGCAACTATCATAGAAAATGTACCTACCACGGGCGAGAAGCAAGTAGATGAATCAGACAAAGTCACAGAAACTCAAGTTGAGTTATCAGATAGTCCACAGGTGAAAGCAACCACTCCTGTCAAAGCATATATGCCTCCGATCTCATTTTCACAAAGATTGCAAAAACATAAGCTCGATAAGCAATTCCAGAAATTTTTGGATATGTTCAAGAAGCTGCATATTAACATACCGTTTGCTGAAACTTTAGCTCAAATGCGCAGCTACGCCAAGTTCATGAAAGATATTCTATCAAATAAGAGACAGCTGGAGGATAATGAAACAGTCACGCTTACTGAAGAGTGCAGGCAATTCACCGACATAAGTTACCGTTGAAGTTAAAAGATCCAGAGAGTTTTAATATTCCTTGTAACATTGGTAATTTATATATAGATAAAGCATTGTGTGATTTAGGAGCTAGCATTAATTTAATGCATTTATCTCTTTTCAAGAAACCATGTTTGGATGAAGCAAAATCGACAATAGTTTCACTGTAGTTGGCTAACAGGTCGATTAAGCACCCTCGTGGTATTTGTGAAGATATTTTAGTGAAGGTCGACAAGTTTATCTTCCTAGCGAACTTCATTATTTTGGATATGGAGGAAGATAGGGACGTTCCCCTCATATTGGGTCGCCCATTTTTGGCTACGGAAAGAGCTCTGATAGATGTACAAAAAGGTCAGTTGATATTGAGGTTAAACGAAGAGGAACTGACAATCAACGTGTTTAGAACTTTTAGATTTCAGAGCGAATAGAATTCTTGCATGCAGATTGTTGTAATAAAAGAAGTGGTGTCAGAGACATTCAAATTAAATCACCATCAGGATTTGCTTGAGGCTTGTTTAGTGCATTTTCAGGATTTACCATCACAAAATGAGGAAGCAAAAGAATGTGCACGTTATTTGGCAGCCCTACCACCATTCTTCAAACAACCACATTTGGAGCTCGGTGAAAGACCTACAATACCATTACCGTCTATACAGCAAGCTCCGGCTCTTGAATTTAAACAGTCGTCCACTCATATTCGCTATGCATACTTGGGGAAAAAGAATTCATTTCTGGTAATTATCTCGAACAATCTTACAGAATCAGAGGAAGATCAATTGCTAAGGGTACTTCGAGAACACAAGACAACAATAGAATGGATGATATCAAATATAAAAGGGATCAGCCCTTCTCTTTGCATGCACAAGATACTGATGGAAGAAGACTACAAAGATTCAGTTGAGCATCAACCTAGATTAAATCCGACTATGCAAAAAAGTGGTATTAAAGCTTTTGGATATAGGGATCATCTACCCCATATCAGACAGTCATTGGGTGAGTCCAGTACAGGTCGTACCGAAAAATGGAGGGATCACGGTGGTTCCAAATGAAAACAACGAGCTCATCCCGACATGCATAGTCATGGGTTGGAGAGTTTGTATTGACTATCACAAACTCAACAACGCCACGAGAAAGGATCACTTTCTCCTTCCTTTCATTGATCAAATGCTAGAGAGACTTGCTGGACATGCTTAGTACTGCTTCTTGGATGATTATTTGGGCTACAACTAGATTCCTATAGTGCCAGATGATCAAGAGAAGACGACCTTTACATGCCCTTATGACATTTTTGCTTATAGGAGGATGCCCTCTGATTTTTGCAACATTCCTGCCACCTTTCAACATTGTATGATATCTATTTTCTCGGACATGGTGGGAAATATCATCGAGGTGTTTATGGATGATTTCTCAGTATTTGGAAAATCATTTAAGGAGTGCCTTAAATATTTGGGAAAAGTGTTACAGCGTTGTGAAGACACAAACCTTGTAGTAAATTGGGAAAAATGTTATTTTATGGTTCAGAAAGGAATTGTATTAGGGCATCGGATTTCTGCACAGGGTATTGAGGTGGATAAAGCTAAGATACAAGTCATCGAAAAACTACAATCGTCGGTAACAGTGAAGGGAGTCAGAAGTTTCTTGGGGTCACGCTGGGTTCTACCGTCGTTTCATCAAAGACTTTTCCAAAATCTCGAAGCTATTATGTAATCTATTGGAAAAAAGGGCTCCATTTCACTTTTCTAATGAGTTCTTGATTGCTTTCAACACTTTAAAGGAAAATTTGGTTTCTGTTCCAGTATTGGCTCATCCAGACTGGGATTATCCATTTGAGCTTATGTGTGATGCCAGTGATCATGCAGTGGGGGCAGTGTTGGGTCAACACAAGGAGAAGATTTCTCATGTTATTCTCCATGCCAGTATGACTTTGGATGAGGCTCAAATGAATTATGCTAATACAGAGAAAGAGCTCTTGGCAGTGGTGTTCGTCGTTGATAAATTCATATCATATTTGATTGGGTTAAAAGTGATTGTCTACACAGATCATTCAGCCTTAAAATATCTAATGAACAAGGAGGACACAAAGTTGAGACTTATTCAATGGATACTCCTATTGCAAGAATTCGATTTGGAGATCAGAGATAAAAATGAGAGCGAGAATGTTGTTGCAGATCACTTATCTCGCCTTGAATCACATGAGCTACACCCTACGGAGGAAATGAATGAACGTTTTCCTGATGAAATACTTTTTCAGATTATCACTACACCATGGTATGCCGACTATGTAAATTATTCGGCCCGCTCCATCATCCCACAGTACTACTCAAGTCATCAGAAGAAGAAATTCTTTAGTGACTTAGAACACTACTTTTGGGATGATCCAATTCTTTACAGAAAGAGTCCAGATCAAATCATACGCCATTGTGTACCAGAAGTAGAGCAGTATCAAATATTGGAATTATATCACTCTGCACCCTGTGAAGGTCATTTCTCAGCAACCAAGACAGCATCAAAAATACTACAATCGAGTTTTTATTGGCCTACTTTGTTCAAGGATGCCCATTATATGGTGAAATATTGTGATCAGTGTTAGAGGACTAAAAACATCTCAACGAGGAACGAGATGCCTTTGAACAGTATTTTAGAGGTGGAAATATTCAACGTTTGGGGCATTGACTTCATGGGACCATTCCCTCCATCCTACGGTCAACAATATATACTGTGGCAGTGGACTACGTGTCTAAGTGGCTTGAAGCCGTGGCTTTGCCAACTAACAATGATCGAGCGATAACTCAATTCCTAAAAAGAACATTTTCACGAGATACGGTACCCCGAGGACGATTATTAGTGATGGTGGAAAGCATTTTTATAACCTCCTATTTGCTTCACTGTTGGCCAAATATGGAGTAAAATATCGTGTCTCGACTCCATACCATCCTTAGACTAGTTGGCAAGTGGAAATCTCCAACAGGGAGTTAAAGAAAATTATTAAAGCTATAGTCAGTGCATCACATAAGGATTGGGCTAAAAAATTGGACGACGCACTTTGGGCATATAGAACATCATCTAAGACTCCAATTGACATGTCTCCATATCGGTTGGTATTTGGAAAGGCTTGTCATTTGCCAATTGAGTTAGAGCATAAAGCATACTGGGCGACACACTTGCTCAATTTCAATATGAGGGCAGTATGAGAAAAGGGGCTTCTACAACTTCATGAGCTAGATGAGTTTCATTTGGATTCGTATGAGAATGCAAAGATTTACAAGGAAAAAACCAAGATATGGCATGATAGGCATGTAAGGGAGAAGAAGTTTGAGGTTGGTCAGCAAGTATTGATGTTCAATTCTCGGAAAGCTCAAGTCTAGGTAGTCGGGTCCTTTCACAGTAGTAACTATGTTTCCACATACTTCTATGAAAGTAGTGTCTCAAGATCAGCAAAGGAGGTTCAAAGTAAATGGACAACAGTTGAAAGCTTATTGGGAAGGTGACTACTTCAATGAGAAAATAGCCATGCCACTTGACAATGCAGAGTAGTCAGAACAACAAAGTCTAGGTAAAGACTATAAATTAAGCGCTTAGTGTGAGACAACCCAATTTCTAATCCTTTTTTATTTTGCTTTCTTTATCACACTGCATATAGATTTGTTTGAATTATTAGTTTGCATTAGATTTAGGCACATTTAAATTTATAGAGTATCATCATCCGATCATGTTTTCATTGAGGCCCTTAAATATAATGTTGGTTATTTCGAGTGTTGGGGCTAAGTAACGCATGTTTTAGATTATTTGATTTCTAATGTTTGATTTGATTGCAAGATGTAGGAACATGATATCATAGAACACTCAAACCAACATTGACCAAGGGGAAAGCATGATGAGAAAGATTGTCTAGCCGTCATCTATAATATCTTCCATGTTCAATGGAAAAATTTGAGAAGTACCTTCGTCCTTTTCTTCTCCATACCTTTACATTCTTAATTATATTTTAAGACATTGAGGACAATGTTAGATTTAAATTTGGGGGTGGGAAACACTTTGTGTTTTTTTATTTTTGTATGTCTTTTTTGTGCGATGTTTGTGCTTATAAAACAAAAGCTAAATTTTTATTTTGTTTATTTTTGGTTGTGCTTGTGTGAGTTAGACAATTTGGCTAATAATGATGATTAAATTTGAGATTTGGTATTGATTTATGAACTGGGGATAAGATGCATGCTAGACTGATTGAAACTTGAACTTGCAGAAGTTGATATCATACATGCACTAGAACTGAGTTCGACATTATGATGAAATAAGTTGATTCATAAATGTGATAAGGTTTTTTAATTGGACATAGATACTTTAACCAAACCATACTAATTATTTGTCCTTAGACCTAATTTAGTACTATTTGGGGAGATCTTACTGTTGTAGGAAGATACAGATGTGAATGTGGATTTCTTAAGTGAAAAAGTTTGTGTGGATTGCCTGAGATTAACAGATAAAATTGGGTGAAAATTTTAAATTAGAGGTTGATTTGCTTGAATGGGTGTGTGATAAGAGGCATTACACTAATCAAGGCATATATTTTGAAATTTAAAACTTCTTTTTGGAGTTTTTATGACTCGAGCAATTAAGCCTGCAATGCTGTCTGAAAACCTGATGCCCTAAAGTCATCTGACTTGGGAGTCATCGGTTTAAAACTCATTACGAGGGTCATTTAAAAAGCAATCAGAGATGAAGTTGCACTAAAAAAATAAAAAATAAAAATATAATTCTCTTCGAAGCCTTTTTTACTCGAATTATTATGCCTGTAAGGGTATTTGAAAACCCAGTGCCCTAAAGTCATTTGACTTGAGAGTCATCAACCTAAAGCCTGCTACACGAGTCATCTAGAAAGTTTAAAGGGGAGTGCAAAAAAATAAAGCACTAAATGCCTTGCAAGTCCCAACATTTGTTCGAGAAAATTTGACTTTCGATAAAGGATAATTAGCCTAATTGAATCTTGACGGTTGAAACGATCAAATAATTAGAGAATTCTTAGATGTGTTGACTTGCAACTAGTGACATCCACCTGAATTGGAGAGGGTGAGGATAGTAATGAAAAATTCGGTCTTAGATCACACACTGGGAAAAGAGTGAAAATGAATAAGTTTGAGGGTGTGTGAATCTTACGAGACATGAAATGATATATTTGACCATAGAGAGTCAAGAATTGGAACAACTTGTGAATTCATTAATGTCAACTTAGCTCTTCACACTAACACGCCAGTTTTGCATTGTAAATGTGGATATTAGTTTGGTATTGTGATTTTGAAATAGTTTGTAGATTTAAAAAAGTTAAACTGTCCAACCAAATTTTTGCATGCCTATGTGTTTGTTGTTACTTAAGCTTAATTTTGTTCGAGGATGAACAAAGTTTAGTTTGGAGGTGTTTGATAAGTGCAATGTTCGCACTTATTTAGACCACATTATTAAACTTTTCTGTCGTGAAATTATTGAATTTTAGTTAATTTTTGTTTGTTTCAGTGTTTGACCCGATTAGGAGCAATTGGAAAAGGATGAAGATTGAATTAGCTATTGGATGGAAAATGTGGGAATCAAATTCTACACTTTGAAAAATTAAGGATTTGAATTGAACTAAATAAAGACATTGGTTGAATAGTTAATTGGGTTCAAGGATTAAATTGTATGATTTTAAAATGATTGAGGATTTGAAGAAAAATGAATTATAATGGGCCTCTTGGGCTGGAAATTGAAGAACAATTGGATGTCACTGGAAATTGGAGAAAAACCACAGAAAAAGGGTTGTCCAAGGATTCATTATATATATATGCACGATAATTAGAGCTGCTAGAAGGGAGGACGGCTGCAAATCTTGGGAAAATTATAGAAATAAAAATGGCTGCCATTATATAGATTTCACACGCCAACTGGAGGAGAATTGGAGATAAAACCATATAAAAAGACACGCACACGCACGGAAGAGAAGAGAAATTGCCGGCCAGAATTCACAAAAAACAGAAGACTGCTTGGGAGAAAACATATACAAAGATAATTGAGTAGCAGTTTGGAGGGGAATTACACACGAACTGAGAAGAGGCAAAAAAAGGGCGATTGCAAGTTTTATACATACATTGGCGGCTGAATTTGGAGTTTCTTAGAAGAAAATTGGGTGGCTGCTTGTGGAATTAATTAGAGAGACTCACAAACAAATGGTGGTGGTAAAATCAACAGAAAATTGAGGGAGAGCCTGGAATTGATAAATACACGTGCAAAGGCCGAGAACAGTTTTGGAATTTAATCACTTCTCGTCGATTTTTGGTGATTTCTTTCCACTTTTATGTGTTTAATCCCAACATTATGCTAGGCTAGGTCTTCTCATGTATTGGATGAATGACAAAATTATTTAATTCTTAGTTTTAATTCGAGACCTGTGTTTTTATTTTAATTCTTGTGTTGTGATTTCAGTAATATGCCTATTTATATTGTTTTAATGTTTGAGTACCATTAGGACAATAAGTTACTTATTCGTTATGTTGGAAAACTCACGATAAGTAGAATACTATTATTGGATTACACGGACAATAAATGTTAGGAATAATATTTGTGGTGTGTGTGATCATATGTGATAATCCTAAATGTCAATGCATGTTTGTCATATAAATTCGAACTAGGAATAGAATCGTCTCGTGGTAACTATAAGTTTATTATATCTTGGGAAATAATAATAAATAATAGTGAAATTATCGATCGTCACAATTGTATGAATTGAGATATTTATCACTGGTTGAGAATTAGAACTAAGAATTGATCAGTGGTATCGAAAATCTAATATGTTCGCACATTTAATTTTTAAACCAACTTTCATTATTTTCACAAGTTTTAGTTATAAAAATTATGAGTTACTCACTCGATCGTCTTTTAGTTACAAACACAAATTTAAATATAATCAAATATACTAAAATTGATCTTTATTCCTTATGGGATGATAACTCTCTCATCACGATTATTGCTTGTACAATGAACTCGTACGCTCGCAGGATTTTGACAAACAATTACATGTTTGAATTTTAATAACTATGCTTTAAAATTGTGAAAAATATTGAACTAAAATAATTGCATTAAGGATTGCACTCATAGAGTGTCGAATGCAAGACCTCTCACTGACTAAATGGGTGCTCTAACCAACTAAATTACATGAATTATTTGAATACAAGCGAAATTATAGATATATATCCAAAATAATACTTCCTCTATCCCATTTGTATAGGTTGATTTTGTTTTTCACAAAGATTAAGAAATCTTATTTAATGTTATTGAAAAAAAAATTTGCCAAAGATTTTCAGAGTTTACACTTATTTATATTTTTACTATTTCAATATTAAATGGAAAAATTTTGTATAATTAGGTAAATTAAATAATGGTCCATTAGTAAATAAACAAAACAAACCATTCTCAATAAAAAACAGGATTATATAATTGGGACAAAAAAAATAAGAAAAGTCAGTCTATATAAATGAGACGGATGAAGTATATACATTGATGTCAAAAACAAATTTAGTACCGATGGATCCACCTATATAGAATTTGTTATCTTTAGTTCCTAAACTAGTTATTATTATTAATTTTTTTCGTTAATGAATATCATGTGTGTTTATATTCTTAAGCAAGATCAATTTCATGGTCAAAAGTTCTTGGCAACATGTTTAATAACATTTAAATTCTGTCCTCAAATGTCCATTTCCATTTCAAACCTGCTACATGCATAGAAAATTATTGTTAGAAGTCCACCAAAAGACACTTGGTAGCAATCTATTGGATAATGGTAAAAACGGGGAAACAAACAAACAAAAACGTGAACCAAGTGTAAGCATTTGGTGGATTTCTGGCAATTCCTTTAGTTAAATATATAATAAGAAATTTTTTTAAATTAAATTGCATTCAAAAGTTTAAGTAGTCAAACATCATACAAAGTACCTCTCATCCTCATCGTCAAATTAAAATGTTCCCAGCCACGATCCGGTGCTCACGTGGGACCATCGGTCCACATCCAGCCGCTGTCCTGTCTGGATTCATGCTGTCAATTTGGCCTACCTGGTATCCTCTCTTGTACCATTTCCTCCGGTTCTCTCCAGTTTCCCTGTAGTCGCATCTGGTTATTCAGCACTTTCCTTGAGCTCTATTTTGTATAATGCACCTTTAACTCAATTGATTACAGCCCAACGAATGATGTATTAAGAAAAAAATAGCAGCGACAGTCCATAATCTATTATTCTCATTGCATTCTCACACTCAACCTTTGAAACAAAACATTTTGCTCCCAACCTTCTAATTTTTGCTGCACCAATAATATATCTCTCTCTCACTCTCTCTCTTTCATTTGAGTACTTATATAGAGCTTATTTGGTGAGAGATTTTGTTAATTGATTTTTTGACCGTTAGATATAAAATGGGTCTTACCTGTGAAAGAAGAATTCAAAAATGACGACAAGAATAGTGAAATAACGATCAAAAAATTAATTTTAATTTACTTAACATCCCTACCAAAGAAACGC